AAGCCCGCACTAAAAGGCACTAAGGCCTCTGATTGGCTACTGTTGACAAGCCCAGTTTTCAGATTCTTCTGACGGCGGTGGCCTTTAACCAAAGATTTGGGATTATTTATTAAGGCAAAGTGCAATGTGCAAGAACAGAGTAGCCCATGGCAACCAATCAGAAAGCATCTTTCACTGATCGGACAAAAAAAAAAAAAGTGTTTTAGTGGACGGGGCTCCCACTGTCGTTGGAGTATTACTGCTCATCACAAAGCCTTGTGCAGGGTTGACACCCCCCCCCCCACCACCACCGTTGGGGTAGTACTTCTCATCACAAAGCCTTCTGCAGGGTCGACCCCCCCCACCGTTGGGGTATTACTGCTCATCACAAAGCCTTGTGCAGGGTTGACACCCCCCCGTCACTGGAGTATTACTGCTCATCACACAGCCTTGTACAGGGTCGACCCCCCCCCCCCCCACCACTATTGGGGTATTACTGCTCATCACACAGCTTTGTGCAGGGTTGACACCCCCCCATCCCCCCGTCACTGGAGTATTACTGCTCATCACACAGTCTTGTACAGGGTCGACCCCCCACCACATTGGGGTATTACTGCTCATCACAAAGCCTTGTGCAGGGTTGACCCCCCCCCACCACCACCGTTGGGGTATTACTGCTCATCACAAAGCCTTCTGCAGGGTCGACCCCCCCCACCGTCACTGGGTATTACTGCTCATCACACAGCTTTGTGCAGGGTCGACCCCCCATCCCCCCGTCACTGGGTATTACTGCTCATCACACAGTCTTGTACAGGGTCGACCTCCCCACCATCATTGGGGTATTACTGCTCATCACAAAGCCTTGTGCAGGGTTGACACCCCCCCATCACTGGGGTATTACTGCTCATCACACAGCCTTGTACAGGGTCGACCCCCCCCACCACCGTTGGGTATTACTGCTCATCACAAAGCCTTGTACAGGGTCGACCCCCCCACCACCGTTGGGGTATTACTGCTCATCACAAAGCCTTGTACAGGGTCGACCCCCCCACCACCACCGTTGGGGTATTACTGCTCATCACAAAGCCTTGTACAGGGTCGACCCCCCCACCGTTGGGGTATTACTGCTCATCACACAGCCTTGTACAGGGTCAACACCCCCCCCCCCCCCCCCGGGTAGGTCTTTACAGCTCTCAGATCTTGTAAAGCTGTCACAACCCTGGGCAATACAAGATAAGCGTAGGATAGGAAATAAATATAAAAAAAAAAAAATTAGAGAATAATCAGTGAGGAGCTCACAATCAGAGCCGAAGTTACAGGAAGCAAGAATATGTAAATCTCAACGTCTGTAAAAGTAAAGCCGGACTCTGAAGAGCTTCCATGTTGTCTGGGAATTCTCCCACCAGACTAAAAGGACCTCAGACTCAGTAAGCAGTCCACGTTCACTTTAATAGAACACGTTATCTAGCGTGTCATATGGAGAGCCCTGCAGAGCAGCCATTCTCAACCAGGGCTTTCTTAAAGAGGGACTAAATCCTCCTGGTCCTTTATAACCCAAGGAAGCTGCCATCTTAGCCTCTTGTATATAGAAAGGTGCAGCGCTAACATAATCATAATACCAATAAATCAATAAAATCAATGAATATCATCCAATACAAATAAAATGAAACAAGGATAAAAAATTGTTCCAGGAAAGAATGAAATAGTTAAAGGTGACTCTTGTGCTCTGGTAACTCTGGACCCGGTGTCAGTGCAATAATAGTGTAAGTAATGCGCACTCACCGGAAGCGCATGTATAACGTCACGCCGCCAGAGCAACGTGCAGCTCCGGCAGCCATCTTTAAAAATCGGATGGTTAGTCCTGATCGATTACTGTCTGCTGATTTTACCGTTTTGGTGCATCTGATTGCAATATTTAAATAAAAATTGCCAATACCTACTACACTATGGGCGTATCCTTGTTCCAACCCCCTGGGGAGCTCTCTAAATTTACAGATTCACTGCCTCAGGATGGATCATCGTATCTATAGTGGATATCTGCCTACCCAGGGAGCAATACCAGGTTCTTTAAAGGGGAACCCCAGAGGACGAGGATCACCTGTAAAGCCCTAAAGGATCCTGACGACCCACCATCCCTTAGAGGGAAGACCTTCTAGTTCCTGACCCCCTCCTTGCTGATGACATCTGGATTATTAACATAAGGTGCATTATACATGCGCATCCGGTGAGTGCGCATTACTTACACCATTACTGCACTGACACTGGGTCCAGAGTTACCAGAGTCAACTTTAACTATTTAATTTTCTACTGGAACTATTTTTTATCCTTGATTCATTTTATCTGTATTGGATATTATTCATTGATTTTATTGATTTATTGGTATTATGATTATTTTAGTGCTGCACCTTTCTATATACAATTTATGATTCAAGGTGATATTTGTTACCTTTTTGTGCATTGCGGCTTTCTATTTAGATTTTAAGGCGCTCGCACTTCTGTTTACATCTTAGGCTCTGTTTGATTTGTAATGGCCATGGTGCTTTCTATACCATTACCCCCGGTTCACATCTGTGCGGGTGGTGCCTCTGCGGATCCACACGGAAATCCGTGCAGCCGGAGAAATGCGGACCCGTGGGCGGGTGCCATTAGTTCTAATGGCACACCGCCTGCACTGGGAAACGCAACCGTACTGAGAACAGAGTTTTCCAAAGAAGTGCAGGGACTTCTTCCCCTGCCTGTCACAGGGCACATGAATGAATGGGCTCTAATCAAATCATCATCTCATCACAAATGAATGGGCTCTCGTGCCCGTGCAAAACGCGGCCCGCACGACAGCATAGGTGTGAACCGGGGGGGGGAATCAGCTGTGACACCAGTAATTTGATGATTTAACAGTTCGGTTGAGAGCATAAGCAACTGTGACAGTTTTTCACAGCATGCCTAAAAATGTAACTGTTTGGGAAAGTTAAATTTGATGGGTTTAGTTCCACTTTAAAAGAAGTTCACCGTTCAGGGAAAAAAAAAAAGCAAAAAAAAAAAAAAAAAAACAATAAAAGCACTTTAATTTTTTTTTTCTTAACAGGTAAAAAATGTGGATTTATTATTTTTTTTTTCCTAAGGAGCCTGCAGGGCATTGCACCCCACGATATCAGGCTCCGGAAGCGGTCTACTCATACCTTGTTACTTGAGAGCAGGAAGAATCAATGGACTAAGAGAGCACTCGCCATTGAGAAGTACAAGCCATGAGCTGCAATGGCTGATGGTATTTGGTGTTCATTCACAGGAAACTAAATGAATGACGCAATCGAGTGGGCAGAGCTGCGCTATTTTCAAATTGTGACAGCGGGGTCAGGGAGAGGCTTCCCCGCCCATTGTCGTGGGGGGGCGGGGCAGTGGGCTAAACGGGTGTAGAGGCTGCAGCTGATAGAACAGGTTTTCATGTTCCATCCTAAAAATGAGAGTGGAAAATTTTCCAAAAAGGTGGACTTATCCTTTAAGTAGTAAGTAGAGTCATCTCCAACCTACACTGACCATCAAAACAGGGGGACAATTTCCCACTGTCCACCAATGTAAGGGGTGGCCTTCTAAACTGACCACGAATGTCAGGGGACACCATAATATTTACTGTGTGTTTTTCTGTTATTCATTTTTTCACTCATAATTTTGATCTGTACAGCAAAGGCTTGTACTGGGTATCGAATGGAACAAACTAAACCAAATTACGATCTTAAAATGTAAACCTCTCTACAACCCAATGTTCACACCAACGTTCCGCGAGTTCTAAATAAAATCATTTTTAATCTTTGAAGGGTTCCTCCACGGTAAATCGGTTGAGAAAGGCTGCAGGACAGAATGCTGCCTCATCCGCCCCTCTAGTGGATCTGTACCAAGAACTATATAACCAGAGAGGAGACACACGTGGCTGAAAAATCAAGTGTCGGCCAATCACTGCCGCACTAGAGAGAATAGGAGACACGTGTGGCTGAAAAATCAAATGTCGGCCAATCACAGCCGCACTAGAGAGAATAGGAGACACGGGCGGCTGAAAAATCAAATGTCGGCCAATCACAGCCGCACTAGAGAGATAGGAGACACGGTGGCTGAAAAATCAAATGTCGGCTGAATCACAGCCGCACTAGAGAACACGGGCGGCTGAAAAATCAAGTGTCGGCCAATCACAGCCGCACTAGAGAATAGGAGACACGGGCGGCTGAAAAATCAAGTGTCGGCCAATCACAGTAGAGAGAATAGGAGACACGGGCGGAAAAATCAAGTGTCGGCCAATCACAGCCGCACTAGAGAGAATAGGCGACACCCCCCATGCATTCCAAAAAAGGCTGTAAAGGAAAAAAAAAAAAAAAAACAAACAAAAAAAAAAATAAATTCATAGAAACCCATTCTGCTTTACTCTACACCAAAATAAAATAAAATAAAAAAAATCTAAGGCTAGAGCAGCATCCAATTAGATAATAATGTGGGAAACAAACAGAAAAAAAAAATAAATAAAAAATTCCAAACGGTCACATTGTAATTATTATTGCCAGTGTTCCACCCCTGCTTCTTTTGAGTGAGAAGACACCAAAAATGGAGAGTCTGTTCCATCCCAGATGACAATGGTGATCATGTTGGCTTTCCGCTTTTCCGTAAAAACAAAAAAAGATTGGAAATATTAATTTTGATGATCCTGGAGGTGGATCTTTAGTTTCAAGACCAGGTTAGGCCCTTGTGGCACTTCTTGTGTAAAACACCCTTCCATATACGGAGGCTGGAGGAAGAAAAAAAAAAAAAAATAAAACCTTAAATTGTCCTGAAGGAAGAAATAAAAGTGTGAATTGGATGACGACGTCCCTGAATATATTGCACAGACGTAGCATATTGTGGAGAGTTGTCAGCAGGCAATGCTGGACACTATGCGTTCCATGTGCATTAGACACCCCAGGACAGACAGTGCATAGCGCCTCTCAGCAGTATACCATCTGAATATCTTGTTCATTGGGAGGAAAGCAATAAACTGCTTGGCCTTAGTCCTCGGAGAAGTCTTTGTCCACGTCCATATAGGCTTCATCTATGTAACTTACTATGGCACACGGTGATGTCCTGTCTGGATTTAATAGTACAGATACAGTCTCTTTCCAGTAGCTGAAGTTGATGCATGAACTCTGGCAAAACAAAGAGAAGATGCGAGGTCAGGGTGTGGAACTGCAATGTGTGCATATCCCTCTGGACTGGCCAATCACTGGGCCGACATCATGCTGGGTTAGGGGTACACAGGTAATTCAGAATGCCAAATCTTTGGCCACTTTCACATGGGCGTTCCGTATGTCCATTTTTCATCTGTCAGTTTACGGATGAAAAACTGACCCTCATGTATTTTTCTATGGACTTGCGCATGTAAACGGATTAACATCTTTTTACATCCGTTAACATCCGGTTTTTTGAACGTTAAAAAACCCTATTTTACTTCCGCAAAAAAATGGAACGGACGAAAAACGGATGTCAATGGATCCAAGTGGATGAAAAATGGATGTAAAACGGACAAAAAAAACACGGACGTCAATGGATCCAAAAAGGGACGAAAAAAAAAAACGGATCCAAAAAGGGACGAAAAAAAAAAAAAACGGATCCAAAAAGGGACGAAAAACACGGATCCAAAAAGGGACGAAAAACACGGATCCAAAAGGGACGAAAAACACGGATCCAAAAAGGGACGAAAAACACGGATCCAAAAGGGGACGAAAAACACGGATCCAAAAGGGGACGAAAAACACGGATCCAAAAGGGGAAAAACACGGATCCAAAAGGGGACGAAAAACACGGATCCAAAAGGGGACGAAAAACACGGATCCAAAAGGGGACGAAAAACACGGAATCCAAAAGGGGACGAAAAAAACACGGATCCAAAAGGGGACGAAAAACACGGATCCAAAAGGGGACGAAAAACACGGATCCAAAAAAGGGACGAAAAACACGGATCCAAAAAAGGGACGAAAAACACGGATCCAAAAAAGGGGACGAAAAACACGGATCCAAAAGGGGACGAAAAACATGGATCCAAAAAAGGGACAAAAACACGGATCCAAAAGGGACGAAAAACATGGATCCAAAAGGGGACGAAAAACATGGATCCAAAAAAGGGACGAAAAACACGGATCCAAAAAAGGGACAAAAAAACACGGATCCAAAAAAGGGACGAAAAAAAAAAAGGGACGAAAAACACGGATCCAAATGGATGAAAAACTGATGTAAACCAATGTAAATGGGTGAAAAAAAAAAAAAACATGAATAAAGTGTATGTAAACTCATGGTTTTTTTTTTTTTTAAAAAAACGTGACTGGGGGACAAAAACAAAAAAAAAAAAAAAACGGAATGCCCATGTGAAAGGACCCTTTGTGGTCTAAACAGACTTACTCCAGCAGCTGAGGGTTTTACTGGACACAACAGAATAACACTTAGCCTGTTGTAATGCAGCACTCCTGGCAGCAAGTTGACACTACTGCTGGTATTGGAATGCATAGAAATTGCACATGTTCCTGCACCCGCCAGTATTCATGACCAAAACAAGCTGCTCTTTAGCATACGCACGGGGGTGTCATTAACTCGTAATGGCACCCCCACCTATCTGAAAATGCAGTGCATTTTCAGGTGCGCAAAACTGCATGGTACCTCAGCGGTTTGCATTTTGGGGAAAAAATTCAGGGACTGTTTCCCACAGGTACAGCAGCCCATTCACATGAACAAACGTGGCACACAGGAAACATGAAGACGTGAACCTAGCCAAAGTGGAGGTGAACTTTTTTTGCTTTTTTGAAAATGACAAGAGCCCCATCTGCATGTACACATTTGACAGTCAAAGTGGAACTATAGTGAAAAATAAAAAAAGGATAGGATTCAGGCTGTCCCATCACTATTACCTGTTGATTATGTTTCCATTTCCTGGAACAGACCAAGCTACCAGCAAAAGTTTCTGTTACAGGGGTTGGGGAAAAAAAAACATAACACTGACAGTTTCTATTTCCATTACTTAAAGCGCAATTCCACCCTCCTACCCTTTACAGCCAAGGAGGCTGTCACCTGTTTGATCTGAAGTTGATAGTTCAGCCAAGAGTACAAGCAACTGTGAGTTATTAATGGCATACCTTGAACAGAACGGTGTTGGAAAACTTAAATCAATGGATTTGGCTCGGCTTTAACCACTTTCACCCCCTTCCTGTCCAGGCCAATTTTCAGCTTTCAGCGCTATCACACTCTAAATGACAATTGCGTGGTCATGCAACACTGTACCCATATGAAATTTTTCGCAATTTTTTGAGAGAGATAAAACTTTATTTTGGTGGTATTATTCACCACTGGGATTTTTATTTTTTTGCTATATAAATGAAAAAGTCCAAAAATTTTGAATTAAAAAAAAAAAAAAAGTTTTTATAAAATTTAGCAAATAAATAATCTTTCTTCATAAATATTGGCTACAATGTATCCATCTATCTTTTTAGTAAAAAAAAATAAATAATGAAAAGTAGAAAAAAAAAAAAAAAAAAAAAAAACCCCACACTCACAAAAAATTGGAGCCTCCCCACATACGCAGACATTTCGGTTTGGTTTTCGGCCACATGCATTCTGAATTTTCGGTATCTGTTTTCGCACCAGAATTTTCATTTCGGTGCACCACTAGCGCTATATATATTTTTTTTTGTTACATTTTTTACTAGTAATGGCAGCAATCAGCAACTTATAGTGGGACTGCAGCGGGACACTGACTAACTGCCACTGACATCCCCAGTGACACTAATATAGTCATCAGTGCTAATAAAAAGCACTGACACTGTACTAATGACACTGGGCAGGAAGGGGTTAACATCTGGGGCGATCAAAGGGTTAACTGTGTGCTGTTTTACTAGGGAAACATGCTGACGGGAGAGATCTGTGTGTTTAAAAACAGACCTCTCCCCTTTCATTGTTCCTCGGCGATCCCTGGATGCAGGTGCGGAATCTCTGGCTGGGACCCAGTGATCAATAGCTGTAGCTGCCCAATGGTGGTGCAGGTAGAGCAGCGCTTGCGTGCCCCCTCCGTGGAAATACAAAATATCTCTCTATATCCATCTCTCTCTCTCTACCTATTTATCAATTGATCCCCATCCATATCTACCTATTTATCAATTGATCTCTCTCTCTCTACATCTATCTATCTATCTCCACATCTATCTATCCATCTATCTATCTCCACATCTATCTATCCATCTATCTATCTATCCATCTATCTATCCATCCATCTATCCATCCATCTCCCCATCCATCTCCCCATCCATCTCCCCATCCATCTCCCCATCCATCTCCCCATCCATCTCCCCATCCATCTCCCCATCCATCTCCCCATCTATCTCCCCATCTATCTCCCCATCTATCTCCCCATCTATCTCCCCATCTATCTCCCCATCTATCTCCCCATCTATCTCCCCATCTATCTCCCCATCTATCTCCCCATCTATCTCACCATCTATCTCCCCATCTATCTCACCATCTATCTCCACTATCTATCTCCACTATCTATCTCCACTATCTATCTCCACTATCTATCTCCACTATCTATCTCCACTATCTATCTCACTATCTATCTCACTATCTATCTCACATCTATCTCACTATCTATCTCACATCTATCTCACTATCTATCTCACATCTATCTCACATCTATCTCACATCTATCTATCTATTCATACACACACGATTTTGCGCAGCCAAGCCACCCTGTACCAGTAGTTCTGGTATAGGGTGGTGAGGAATCGGTAAATCTTACTTGCACCGAGTCCAACAACTGAGCCAAGTGTCAGAGGTCACCCAAAACCTGACAGTTCTTGTCCATACGTGCAGCTTCAGGCCAGGCTATTGACAGCCAACGGATGTCCACGGAAGAGATTAAGCAGTTGGCTGGCTCTCTCAATCACCCAGCATACACAAAAAGCTTAAAAATGAGGCGCTAAGTGTTGGGAGAGTTGATGGGGGATCGAGGCACACTCACATTCTCTAAACAAGTGCTGTCTTTGTCCTTGTTGAGGTAATGCTGCTGCCAGAAGCGCAGGAGGCTGTGGAAGTTGTTGAGGATGAAGCCCGGGTATTTCTCCAAGCACTCCATGTCCCGGATGGTCTGCAGGTAGTAGGGTAGCCGACCTTTCCTCCGCGCCAGCATTAGGATAACCAGACTTGTGTTCAAGCAGCTGACATTCTCCTGGAGAAGAAAGCTCATGTGTCAGCCGCATCAATTTAATATTTCCTTTACTGCGTGCCAAAAACATGAAAGTCGCCTGAAAATCAAATCTCAATCATTAAGCGATTAACGCAAAATAGTTAAGTGAATGGGTTAAAACCAACCGTTTTATTTTGGCTTTTTGGTGCTCACATTGTAAATCCCCATTACACAAAGCACTGTCCATCGCATACAGCCACACACCTCCGCTATCACCATAACTTGCAGTTACCTAAATTGAACCTGTGCTCCATTCTACAGTCCGGAAAGTCACACTACTGACTAGGAGCAGGCGCTGCATGAAGGCCGTTACTAGGATTACAAAGAAAAGCTTCTTCTGTGCACCTTGGAATCCCTGTTTAAATCTCTAACAAATACAATAGATTGTACTCCCCTTGAGGGTTAGCGACTGATGTGAATGTACAATATATATGTAAAGCGCTGCGTAAATTGATGGTGATATATAAGTACCTGAAATAAATAAAAAATAAAATATACAGTAGGCAAGTAAAAGCCTAAGGCACTAGTATCTCACCTGTGTCAATGTCTGCACGTGAATGATATTGATAAGTCGGAAGAGAAAAGACATTTGCACAGACCCCTGAGTCATATAGGACAGCAACCGACACTCGGACAAAACCTCTGCAACTGAAGAAAAAAAAAAAAAAGGGAAAAAAAAAAAAAAAAAAAAAAAGGCGCAAAATCATTTCAGTTCAACTGTACAACTGAGTCCAGAGAGCCACATTTTGGCAGTTCGAGATATCAGTGATCAAACTACAAGGTGAGTGCAAGTCCACAAAGGGAAAATGATAGTAAATCGTACTTTTTTTTTTGTTTTTTTTTTTGTTTACCTGCTCTGTGAATTGCAGGAGTGACCCCAATCCTCCTCATCTGGGGTCTCTCGCCGCTGCTCCTCTTCTCCATGTGCCACCATAAGAAGCTCCTTTCTATGGTGGCACGCCTGCAGGCTCTATGGCAAGCTGTGCTGCCTGCATCCTTAGAGACAGACAGTGCAACTCCCTTCCTGCCCCTTCGTCACAGGATTTGTCTGACAGCAGTGGGAGCCAATGGCTCCCACTGTCTCAGCAAAGCCTATGCGGGAAACAGAGCCACTACAGACAGGCACAGTGCACAAGAGAATGAGGTAAGTATAAGATGGGGTGTGAGGGGGTGATAAAAGTACTAGAACGTGTTTTTACCTTGACCCCAGGTTCACACCTATGCGGCCGTGTTTTGCTCGGGCACGAGAGCCCATTCATTTGAATGGACTCCCGTGCCCGTGACATGCAGGGAAAGAAGTCACTTTGGAAAACGCAGCCCGCACGGGAACCTCTGTTCTCAGAATGGTTGCATTTCCCAGTGCGGGTGGCGTGCCATTAGAAATAATGGCACCCGCCCCGCAGGTCCGCAATTCTCTCTTTTTCCTGCGAATCTGCAGTGGCATCACCCGCACAGATGTGAACCGGGGGTAATGCAGGGACTTTGGAACTACCTGAAGCACTCACCTTTGATTTCATCTGACTGGCTCTCAAACCGATCCAGAGACAGTGCAATGCATCTCACCAACATGTTTGAGTCCACCAAAGAGCTGTTTATCTGATTCAAGAAAACCTGGAACTAAAGGAAAAAAAAAAAAGTTTTATACAGCTACTGGGTATCTGTTTTACTGATCAGTCTGTCTACAACAGTGAACAATGCAGCTACCAGACAGCGGGGAAAAAAAAAAAAAAAAAAAAAAAAAAAGAAGAACAGTGGCAAACTTTGGCATATACAATAAAATGATGAACAAGTTGTGGTCACTGGGTCATGCTACATGTGATTTGTGCAGTATGCCCAATCTTTCTGGCCATCTGCTGCTCCCCTCCTTGCACATGATGGCAATTCCCAGCTGTCAAAATAACAGCTGGGAGGTGCTGTAAAAATCTGGCAGCTGCACTTGGGCTTTAAAAGGATAAGTTCACCTTTTAAAAATTTTTGCAAAAATCAGCAATCGGTGGATCAGGGGTTCATCCTCAGGCATCTGCAGACAAGCCCAGCAAGGCTTGTGAATGAATTACAAGAGAGCTCACCAGTGCCCTCTCAGTTTATTCAGGAGAACTACAAGCTGTCAGCTGCAAAGTTTGATGGTAGTTGTGCCTCATTCGTTCAGAGGATTCTGTGAATGAATGATGAGGCCACGTGGGCAGAGCCCCATATGGCCGTGCAGTTTTTTGAATTGTGACAGCGGGCGCAGGGAGACTATCCCTCGCCCACTGTCACAATGTGAGAGGCATCAGGAGGAGAGGCTGGGGAGTTGTGGCTCATTCATTCAGAGGATTCTGTGACTGAATGATGAGGCCACATGGGCATAGCCCCATACAGCCGTGCTGTTTTTGAATTGTGATAACGGGCGCAGGGAGAAGATCCCTCGCCCACTGTCACAATGCGAGAGGCATCAGGAGGAGAGGCTGTGGGAGTTGAAACATGCTACATTCTAAATACGGGTGGAACGTGTAACATGTTCCAAAAGTGAAGTTATCCTTTAATGTTAATGCATATCTATGGTCAAAATATAAAAAAAAATTCATTTCTAGCCTACTTCAATTAACCCAAAATGACCTTGATGATATTAACCCCTCGAAGCCGAGCGCACGCAAATATGCGACCTCTCCGCGTCTGGGTCTTGACGATGAGCGGCCCGCATATTTGCGTGCAATTAGAAAATACATATGTGCCCCAACGCACTCCCAGCACCTATGTCTGCGACTCCCGGAAAGGTCTCAATCTCCCCTTTCGATCAGGACCTTTTCCAATCATGTGAACCCGTGACGGCGAATCACGGCGGTCACATGACCCTAAAACCCTGCCCGCCTCCTGAAACTCTTAAAGGGTCGGGAGGTGCCGGCGCGAAGAGGTTAAACTTACTTTATGATGATCCGAACACATTTACTTCCTTGAATTCTGTAACACATTCATTATGACCTATCAGTAGGCACTGCTGTGTCACAGAATTCACAGAGCCCACAGAGGAGTTTCAGGAGGCGGAGTCAGTACAGGAAACGCTGATTGCAGGCAGCTAGGTACCATGGGATATGTAGTCCTTGGATACAGACAGTAAACCACAGGAGGAGAAGCAGAGCATGCAGGGAATTCAGAAAGGTGTGGAAAGAGATGGCCAGCAGACATGCACAAGTCAACATGAAAGGAGGAAATTTTCCAAGTAAGCTTTCATTGGAAGGTCAAATACAACAACTATTGTTTGGATTGTGAATACAATGCTAATGTTTTAAAAATGAAAGCATAAGCTGTGACCACAGATCGTCTTTAAACATGTCATTTTTTTACCCTCTCCTCTGTAGTGATGTATTTGTTGAATTTCTTAAAGGCATCAATGTTAAACTTCATTAGCTCTCCCAGTAGGTCAAAGTAGCTTTGAAGGACGTCCCTCGATTTGCACTCACTATCCACAATACAGTAGAGGATGTGCTGGAATGTAAAATTCTCTGGATTACAACCACAATCGGATTTCACAAATAAAGAGAAAAAACTCTGACTTGACTTCATGCTTATTTAGGACGTATCCCCAAAACTGCTACCCTTATTCTTTAAAGTGGATCTAATGGCTGAAAATTTTTATTTTTCACCTTCATGCATTCTATGCAGCTTGGGAGACAGCACGCACAAGTGGCCCCAGAGCAAACTGCTAGCTCTGGGGGCACTCAGCATGGGGAGGGGGGCACGAGCATCAGCAGGGGATCCGAGAACAGGAAGATTGGGGCTGCTCTGTGCAGAACCATTGCAGAGCAGGCAAGTATGACATGTTTGTTACTTTTACAACAAAAAAATCTGAACCTTTAGTATCACTTTCACTTACCGTATTCTTCGCTCCATAAAAGGACGCACTTTTTTTCCCCCTCAAAAAAAAAAAAAGGGGAAAATGTCTGTGCGTCTTATGGAGTGTCCGGCCCGATATTCCCGCCACCTCTACTGTGCAGCAGAACCTGCTCCTCGGTCCAGCAGTGTCCTACTTCCATCGGTCGTCTTCACATCTTTAGTGTGGGCACTCGGCTGTGACAGCTTGCGGCTTCACAGCCCGGTGCCCACTGCGGGGCTCGGGAGCGAGTGCTCACCTGTGTCCCCATAGAAAGCGGCTTGCTATTGGGGGCACTGGTCAAGGGGGAGGAGCCAGGAACTCCAGCAGGGGGCCCCGAGAAGAAGCTGATAGGGGCTGCTCTGTGCAAAACTATTGCATAGAGCATGAGGGTGTGTGTGTTTTTTGTTTGTGTTGCTATTCTGTCTCTCAGTGTTACAATACACCTACCATTCGATTTGTAGACTGATCATTTCTTTGTGAGTGGGAAAACATTCAACATCAGCAGGGGATGAAATACTTATTTCCTTCACGTTAATAAACCAGGTTAAACAAAGGTCTCATGTTAGCAGTGGCAACAAAACAGTACTTCTGAAAGCTGATGTCTTTATAGCAGCATGTAACACACATAGCCATATAACTAAGTGCCCTCCGCCCCCAATTTATAATGAATTTACTGAAATTATATAGAGACGTTTGAGAAATCAATTCTAACAGGACAACTGAGCAGGCTCAAGCATCTAAACCCAAGAACAAAAATGTAACAGAATGTAGCGTGCTAGTCTTTAGAGGCAGAGGCTTCATTCCTTTCCATTTTGAGGATAAGAACACTTTCTGCAAGTACAGAAAGATACATGTTGGTCATACAGAAATCTTGTGTCCCTGTAACTTCCTGTGGACGGATCTGAAATCCTAAACATTATCGGCCTTCTCGGATACCTTCTGTGAACTACAAAAGCAAAACCCCTTTGTATAACTGAAATGAGGGGAGCAGCTCGGGGTCCACAGCCGGCGAGCAGCTCGGGGTCCACAGCCGGCGAGCAGCTCGGGGTCCACAGCCGGCGAGCAGCTCGGGGTCCACAGCCGGCGAGCAGCTCGGGGTCCACAGCCGGCGAGCAGCTCGGGGTCCACAGCCGGCGAGCAGCTCGGGGTCCACAGCCGGCGAGCAGCTCGGGGTCCACAGCCGGCGAGCAGCTCGCCGTCCACAGCCGGCGAGCAGCTCGCCGTCCACAGCCGGCGAGCAGCTCGCCGTCCACAGCCGGCGAGCAGCTCGCCGTCCACAGCCGGCGAGCAGCTCGCCGTCCACAGCCGGCGAGCAGCTCGCCGTCCACACAGCGGCGACAGCAGCTCGCCGTCCACAGCGGGCGAGCAGCTCGCCGTCCACAGCGGGCGAGCAGCTCGCCGTCCACAGCGGGCGAGCAGCTCGCCGTCCACAGCGGGCGAGCAGCTCGCCGTCCACAGCGGGCGAGCAGCTCGCCGTCCACAGCGGGCGAGCAGCTCGCAGTCCACAGCGGGCGAGCAGCTCGCAGTCCACAGCGGGCGAGCAGCTCGCAGTCCACAGCGGGCGAGCAGCTCGGATTTGGCAGGATCACCAAGTGAATAGAAAAAGATGCCCGAAAAAATAACCAGGATAGCCACCACATCTAAGGAATGGCAAACTGCAAAAGATGACATTTTTGTTTAGAAAGCTTTAAGTCAGCATTCAGCTTGTAAGTATGTGAAGGGATTATGGGAGCTCTTGTCACAGAGTAGAGAAAAATAAATCCCCACAAAGTTTCACCATAATGGCTATATGATTACACAGCCATTCCACCTCACCTCTAATAATCCTCTCTTCAGCAGAAACATCTGGTCTGCGTACGACGTCACGCCACGAAGAAAGCTTTCTACAGCTCGTGCTTGCCAGAACCTAGACACAGGACAGCATTAAGAAATGCAATGTGCATCAAACAGCCTTACAGATCGTTCTCATCTAAAACATGAAATCTAAACCGAGATCGTCCCTGCAGGAAATCATACTAGCAATGCAGTCAACATACCTGAAGGAAGACTCTGCTGGCTCCTTTTTCATGACTTGCAGTAATCTGGTTAATAGGCCCTTTTTCCCATCACACACCAAGCTCCTAAAAACACATGGCATGCCGGGAAGTAAAATGTCATTAAACATTGTGAAAACCAAGCAACACGCACTATTACAGTGAAGTCATTGGAAAATACTAGTTCTATAAGTAATAAGTACATATATAAGTACAGAAAAAAAAAAAGCCCCAGTAAAATGTAGTTAACCACTTCCTGTCTGGCCCTTGTAGATCAACGGCTGGACAGGAGCACTGCCGAAGCGGGTGGACGTTTCTAAACGTCCCCCCGCTTCCATTGCCTGTGTGCGCATCGCAATTGGTGCCCGACGGACACAGATCGCTGTACGGGACTTCTGTGTGAGGTCCCGATTCACGTGATCACTGATTGGCCAATCAGTGATCACATGAACAGTAGTAAACAAGTCACTTCTGACATCATTGCTTACTACTTGTGAAATCTGTGAATGATCACAGAGGTCACATGGTACAAGGCTATTCACAACAGCCTTGTACCATGTGACAAGCTGTGACCAATCACAGCTCTCACAGTATTTCTCAATGGCTGCAAGAATGCAGCCAGAGAGAAAATGGAGAAATTATTGCATTTACAGCCTTTATGGGTGTAAAAGCAATCAGTGTAAAAAAAAAAAAAAAAGCTTCATAACCCCAAGTAGTACAGTGTTACCATGGTGACACTGTACTGCTAGGTAACAGTATGTAAAAATAAAACAAGAAAAAAAAAAAAACACAAATAAGAATATAAAAAAAAAAATAAAAAATGTAAAAAATGTTTTAAAAAATTATAATTTTTGGTTATAAACGAATTTAGGTTATTTGTTTTTTTTTGCTAAAAAGATAACTGAATAAATTATGGCCAAGATTTAGGAAGAAAGATTATTTGCAAAATTTTATAAGAAAAACACAACATTTTTGGACTTTTTCATTTATATAGCAAAAAAGAAAAAAAAATAATCCCAGTGGTGAATAAATGCCACCAAAATAAAGCTTTAGCTGTCTTAAAAAACGCTAAAAAATTCATATGGGTATAGTGTTGCATGACCGTGCAATTGTCATTCAACGTGTGATAGCGCTGAAAGCTGAAAATTGGCCTGGACAGGAAGGGGGTAAAAGTGTCCGGACTTGAAGTGGTTTAAAAAAAAAAAAAAAAAGTCTTTGCTGCCCCTTAGCAAACAGGCCAATTCAAATATCTACAAAAAAGTAAAAAAAAAAAAAAAAAAGAAAGGAAGCCGACAGCCAAAAAAGTAAAGTTCAAATTAGACTGCTTGCTATAGGGCAATGTAGATGGTTCAATACCACTCCTTCCAACAGGAATTATATACACAAGGCCCTATGTCATGAAATGTCCAAAGATCAGTGGGGCTTACCTGTCTGTGTTCAATACAGCCTCTACTTCTGGGATACTGGCTTTTAAAGAGATTGCACTCAGTTCATTTAATTCTTGGCTGTTGAGAAGTAAATATTTATTCCTAAAGTGAAGAATACAATGGGTTAGGAAAAGCATTGCTCACATAGGAACACAAACATTTCCTACAGCAAGCCAAAACCAAAAAGTACTTTTACTTTCATTTAATGCAGGGGAGGGATGGGGGAGGCCAAGCAGAAATGAAACCTCTGACACCATGTGGTATTCACAGCAGTTTTAGGTCAGAACAACATGGCTTTTTAGTAAGACCAACAAAGTAGCACTGACAGCTGAAAAGTAAAGCTCAGTCAACCTGCAGGATTAGTAATCAGGAAACCAGGACGCTTACGACTTGAAAACTTTATAACTACTTCGCAAAAAATAATTGTGTACCGTATAAAAACAAAAAAAGAACAAAAATGCAACAAACTACTCACTCATGATGGTCGCTAAAGCTCTGGAGCAATCTTAGAAACTGTATCTTCAGTGAAATATCCTAGCAAGAAAAAAAAAAAAAAAAAAGATTTACTCAATAGGTACAAATAAAACGCTTTAGAAATATGCAGTAGCTGTGTATATCAACTTTGGGTGCACTAAATGTCTTTGTAGATCTAGTTTGTAGCGGTGACCCCCCACAGCCGCTAGTGTACATAGACGCTCTCTATAATAAAGGATGCGGAAGCATGTCCCTGAGAAAGGAGTCATTCTTCTCCTGTACAATCAATGCAAGGTTACTATTAAAGTATTAGCTGCCTCCTGCCCGCCATATAGTCCAATGATGGGCGCAAGGCGGTTCTCTCGTTCTGGGAAGACGTCATACGACATCCTCCCATTCTCACCGCGCATGCGCGGCTCAGGGAGCGTGGCGATCGGTGGTGCGCTGTGTCCCTCGGACACAGCGGATCACCGATCCATGGAAAGAGCCGAAGATGTCGGCTCGGTCATGTGATCAGCTGTGTCCAATGCGCCCTGAGTGCTCCCAGCACATATGTCTGTAACTCACGGAAAGGTCCCGATTTCCCTTGCAATTGGGACCTTTTCCAATTATGTGGACCGCTGTGACCGCGAATCACATGACCCTAAAACCCGCCCGCCTCCTGAAACTCTTAAAGGGCCGTGAGGCACCGGCGCAAAGGGGTTAATATTACTCACCGGACTGCAGTCGCAGTTCTGGTTGTGCCCATGGAGTACCAAAGTGGACGCAGAGTGCTTCCGCCATATCAGCTTGTCAAACAGATTATTTAATCCTGGGATCAGTTTAAACTCGGCAATCATTTTATGAACCTGAAATAAGAGGAAATAGGAAACAATGAATGATGGTGATAACAAAGAATTAGAGGCATAAAAGACCTTCCAAACACGTGAAAAGAATGGGAAAAAAAAAAAAAAAAAAAAAAAAAAAAAAAGGTACACAAACCTGATTCCTTTGCCTTCCCATCAACAAGACACAGAGCACATAGAGAACCTCTACTTTGTACATGATCTCATGCATGATCTTCATGGAATGTGGGAGCTGAGTTCTTGAGGTGGGATTTGCCAGGCCACTTTCATCAGACGACTCTAAAAAGTGAACAGAATGTTAGAGAAGAGCTTTGGTAGCTTAACCTCTTCAAGTCCAGACACTTTCGCCCCCTTCCTGCCCGGACACTTTCGCCCCCCTTCCCGGACACTGCCCCCTTCCTGCCCGGACACTTTCGCCCCCTTCCTGCCCGGACACTTTCGCCCCCTTCCTGCCCGACACTTTCGCCCCCTTCCTGCCCGGACACTTTCGCCCCCTTCCTGCCCGGACACTTTCGCCCCCTTCCTGCCCGGACACTTTCGCCCCCTTCCTGCCCGGACACTTTCGCCCCCTTCCTGCCCGGACACTTTCGCCCCCTTCCTGCCCGGACACTTTCACCCCCTTCCTGCCCACTTTCACTTCCTGCCCGGACACTTTCACCCCCTTCCTGCCCGGACCGGCCCGGACACTTTCACCCCCTTCCTGTTTCCGGACACTTTCACCCCCTTCCTGTCCGGACACTTTCACCCCCTTCACTGTCCGGACACTCTTTCACGCCCTTCCTGCCCAGGCCAATTTTCAGGTTTCAGCGCTATCACACTTTGAATGACAATTGCGCAGTCATGCAACACTGTACCCATATGAATTTTTTAGCATATTTTTTGAGACAGATAAAACTTTATTTTGGTGATATTTATTCACTACTGGGATTTTGTATGTCATAAATCTTGGCCAAAATTTATTCAGTTATCTTTTTAGTAAAAAAAATAAAAAAAATAACCCAAATTAGTTTATAACCAAAAATTATAATTTAAAAAAAGAAAGTTACATTTTTATAAATTATTTTTTGTACATACTGTCACCCTAGCAGTACAGCGTCACCATGGTGACACTGTACTACTTGGGGGTGAAGATTTTTTTTTTTTTTGTACACTGATTGCTTTTACACCCATAAAGGCTGTAAAAGCAATAATTTGCCTGCCTTGCTTCTGAGATCATGGCGGAGTAATTCGTTGGCAGAAGCCCATCCAAGATCACAGGTCCATTCCAGTACCCAGAGAGGGGTTCTCCTGTATATCCAGGAAACTGCACTCACCTAACCCTAGGGGACCTCTGGCTGACTTAGATCATCGTAAAGCCCTGGAATTACCTGGTGTGCCACTTCTTTTTCAGAGGGAGGATTACCTACCATCTGGTCTACCCTGATCTCCTTGAGAGGACATCTTGACCTACCTACCTAACGAAATATATATGCGCTCATTTATGTTGCGCATCTGGTGAGTGTGCAATTTTACTATAATCATTTGCACAAGCACCAGAATACCTTTGAAGCAGGCACATTCAGAGCACTATTATCACTTTTGGAACATTTCTTTATACATATTTTATAATCATTTATCCAATAATTTTGTTTTAAAGTTTTATCTGGTCACCTATTGTGCATAGCTGCTGCTTTTTTTTTTAGTGCTCTCACATACCTTATACCTTTTCATTGAGAAATACTGTACGAGCTGTGATTGGTCACAGCTTGGCACATGGTACAAGGCTGTAGTGAATAACCCTGTACCTTGTGACCTCTGTGATCATTCACAGATTTCACACGTAGTAAGCAAAGATGTAAAAAGTGACATCTTGCTTACTACTCTGCATGTGAGCACTGATTGGCTAATCAGTGTTCACATAATCGGGACCTCACACAACCCGATCGGTGTTCCACGGTGTCCGGAGGACAGAGCGGGCACTGGATCGCGGTGCTGTGAGCTCGCAGGGAGTGCGCACAAGCAGGGGGTGGGGAGGCCGTTTATAAATGGCCACCCGCCCCTGCACTGCCACCGTCCGGCCGTTTATATACAGCGTCCAGACGGGAAGCGGTTATTATATTATACAACAGTTTGCTCAGCGCTTTATATAACAGCGCAACAATACAGTTCAATACAAGAGGGATAGGAGGGCCCTGATCCTGGGAGCTTACAATCTAGGAGAAAGAGCTGCAACAGGCAGTGAAAAGTACCCAAGGATTCATAAAAATCATCACGAGTGCCCAGTGAGAAATACTCATGTTTGGACTGATTGCATGGTGGAGTTGTAGATGATGTAATCTTTATGGAAACAGACCAAAATCATCTGCATACAACTACAAAGCTAAAAATGCAATACTGAGAGAGGCATATTTAATAAACCAATGAAAGCATTAAAAAAAAGGGACAAACTACTAATACTGATACAAAATTTATTTCACAGCCCTGATTCCAAAGATCACATTTTCCTGAAAGATTTTAATTTTTAAAATGAACCTGTGCTCTGCCCAGCAGGGGAAAAGCAGCAGATTCACAGAAAGCTGAACTCCATAGGTAGGTACAGTAAAAAAAACGCACATATTTAATAACGGAACACAAAGCTGCATTAAATTTGGGTCTTGGACATCTTTTTGGAGTTCAGGTTTATCTGCCACCCTCTGCAGCAGCCCCTTTCCCTGCGATGATCAATAAACACAGCTTCTTTTAAGGAATGTCACCTGTTCCACTCTGTTCGGTCTCCTCGTGGGCCACACGCATCAGGGCGTCCAACACCAAGGCGTTATCCAACCACGTGTACCACTCCTCTAACTCCTGGAGGAAAGTGGCCGTGCCTGTAGATTCTGACACTTTACGGGTGGCAAGCTTGCATAGTCTTTCAATGAAGCCTGGGATATTCAGAAGTGTGGCTAGAACAAACAAAATTGTATACTTTTAGGAACATGAACAGCAGATATTTACAGAATGTTGACTGTGAAGAGATTATATAAATACAATTTTATAGTTTTTGTAGCTTAAAAGTGGAAGTTATGAAAATGGGCGGAAAGGCCGGTCTCTTCAGCATTAAAACTACTCACCTGCCTGTCTGCCGTTGTACAGTGAGCACAGCTGTCAAATTCGGGTACACGCCCCCCACCCTACCCAAAAGGTCCGCAGTCTCTGCTCATCCCCCGCACCGTGCCCGCAGTCTCTGCTCATCCCCCGCACCGTGCCCGCAGTCTCTGCTCATCCCCCCGCACCGTGCCCGCAGTCTCTGCTCATCCCCCGCACCGTGCCCGCAGTCTCTGCTCATCCCCCGCACCGTGCCCGCAGTCTCTGGTCATCCCCCGCACCGTGTCCGCAGTCTCTGCTCATCCCCCCGCACCGTGTCCGCAGTCTCTGCTCATCCCCCGCACCGTGTCCGCAGTCTCTGCTCATCTCCTCGTACCGTGTCCGCAGCCTCTGCTCATCTCCCGTACCGTGTCCGCAGTCTCTGCTCATCTCCCGTACCGTGTCCGCAGTCTCTGCTCATCTCCCGTACCGTGTCCGCAGTCTCTGGTCATCTCCCGTACAGTGTCCGCAGTCTCTGGTCATCCCCCGCACCGTGCCCGCAGTCTCTGCTCATCTCCCGTACCGTGTCCGCAGTCTCTGCTCATCTCCCGTACCGTGTCCCGCAGTCTCTGCTCATCTCCCCGTACCGTGTCCGCAGTCTCTCTGCTCATCTCCCGTACCGTGTCCGCAGTCTCTGCTCATCTCCCGTACCGTGTCCGCAGTCTCTGCTCATCTCCCGTACCGTGTCCGCAGTCTCTGCTCATCTCCCGTACCGTGTCCGCAGTCTCTGCTCATCTTCCGTACCGTGTCCGCAGTCTCTGCTCATCTCCCGTACCGTGTCCGCAGTTTCTGCTCATCCCCTGTACTGTGTCTGCAGTCCATTGGCTCAGAATACTTTTTTTTTCTTGTTTTCCTCCACTAAAACTTAGGTGTGTTTTATGGTCAGGTGCATTTTATGGAGCAAAAAATACGGTATCTATAATTTTCTCAGAATTCAGGAAATTAGTTTTTCCAAAGTTAAAATAAAAAAAATAAAAAAAAAAAAAGTTAAAAAGCAAATTACTGTGCAAACAGGTTTTCTAATATACTTAGCGCCAAGTATGAAAGCATACAGAGGACTAGAGGGACTGGATGCTAACAAACCTAACCTTGATTTATTTCCGCTCTCGAAGGGCTCTGAGACTTCTTCTGTTGTGCGTCTTTAGCAAGCAGAGTGTATTTATCGTCATTTCCGGTGTCCAGCTCTGATATGGTGACAGACAGGATCCTGCAGAAGTTTGCCAACTGCTGCTGATCAAAACTGGACACGAGACTTGCAAGGTTGGGAATGTCCTCAAGCTGGATCATCTCCTGAATCGTAGAGAAAACACCATTAGAACAACTTGGAGTGTAAGTATGTGGACAGTTGCTCGGAAATATTAGGTAGAACTGTGATGACACATGGCCATATATTTCAGACAAAGATGTAGAATACAGCTGTCATGACAGAAGTATGGGACAGGCCAAAGCTGACCTCCTAATAATAACAGTTGCTAGGCTGTGCCTGGCTTTAACCTCTTTACTCCGGCCGCATGCAAATGTGCGGCCTCCCGGCGTCTGGGCCTAGACGCCGAGCAACCACACGTTTGCACTCTAATAAAAAAAGGACATATGTGCTGAGAACGCGCACCCTGTGTGCTTCCAGCACACATGTCCGACACTCATGGAAAGGTCCCGATCTCCTCTTTCGATCGGGACCTATCCCGATCATGTGACCGTCACATGTCCCTGAACCCCGCCTCCCGGCTTCTGAAACTCTTAAAGGGCCGGGAGGCGCCGGCGTGAAGGGGTTAACATTTGAAAGTGTCAGAATTACTCATCTATGTGCTTGTTCCAGGTAAGTGACAACGCATTAAAAGGTTTAGTTCACTTTATCCACTTCCCTACCGGATACTTATACCCCCTTCCTGCCCAGGCCAATTTTCAGCTTTCAGCACTGTCACGCTTTGCATGACAATTGTGCGGTCATGCAACACTGTACCCATATGAAATTTTTTTTATTTTTTTCACACAAATAGAGCTCTCTTTAGGTGCTATTTAATCACCACTGAATTTTTTATTTTTTGCTAAAACAAAAAATACCTGAAACTTTTGAAAAGAAAAAAAAAAAATGCACTTATCTTTGTTTCTGTTATAAACTTTTGCAAATAAACATTTCTTCATACATTTAGGTCAAAATGTATTGTGCTACATTTCTTTGGTAAAAATAATAATTGAATTTTTATTTTTCAAAATGTTTCTATTTTTTTTATTTTTCGTTACATTTTCTTTTTTTTACTATTTTGTTTTTCAGCACACTGTGACCAAAGCAATACAATGTTCGCATAATAACATTGAACAACTCTGGGCAAGGGATCAGGATTTTTATTTTTTTTTTAACATATTATGATTGCTAATACCAATGTATTTCATTGATATTTGCAATCATTGTTACTGAAACGGATTCAGTCTTTTGTTGTGATTAGCTGTGATTGGGCAAAGCTGATCACATGATACAGATGGGCTGTGATTGGCCCTGTCTGTATCATGTGACTGCCTTGACTAGTCACAGCTAACAATCGTATACACTGGATGGCATGACAGGAAGCCATCCATTGTATACAATTGACATGTGATCTGCTGTGATTGGTCACAGCGGTCACATGACACTGGCAACGGGCTGGTTTAGTGATATCTCATCGGCTGTGTCCCGTGGACCCAGCCAGTGGCAGATCGCGGCGCGGCCCCGTGAGCGGCTTGCTTTGACAGGACATCATATGACGCCCAGTCACAACGGCGACTGTCGTGCCCGGCCATCAATCTGCTATAGGCAGGGCGGGAAGGTGTTAAACAAAAAACTGCCTATGCAGGTAAGGGGCACCTATAGATAAAAAGCAAACTGTGCAGCTTTGAGTAAAGCAGGAAAATGCTCTCGCTTTAGGTGTAGGCCTTTTAGCAACCTCCAGAAGCCTGACTGAAAAACTCTGAGATAGCACTTTCCTGTCCTGCCTTGTTCCTATGACTTCGCTAAGACATTCCCAGCCACTACTGCTTACCACCACCATTTCCCAGAAGCAAGCTCTCAAACCGCTGTACCTGTGCAGTTCATCTCCTATGCCAAAGCATCACTGAGCTCAGAGCTATTGCAACAGGACAGTGGGGGGGGGTTTGAATCGGATGTGAGTATTCTTACAGAAATGTAGGGCTGGATGATGCCACCCCTTGGAGATTTTCCTCCAGGCTTTGGGAGGTACATAAAATGGCCTACACCTATAGCAAGTGCATAATTTAAGGCTGGTCAAAGCTGCACAGCTTGATTTATGTACAGACACCCCTTATCTGTATATAGTTTTTTTTTTTTGGTAAAAGGTAAACTAACCCTTTAAAGTCAAAGTATGACAGCCAAGAAACCAATACGCTCAAAAGAAGAGGCCAGTAATGGTAGCCTGCAAAATGCTAGCATAACAGGTGCACTTTAAATCACAGTTCAAAGGCCAAGAACTTCAGTGAGTTTTATGTGAGCTAGACACATGCTGCAGATGCCAAGAGACTCTCAGAGGTAATTCTGGCTAGAGGAGAAGCCATTGGCTCCTGCTGCTGTCAATCAAATGCAGCGAGGTGGAAGTGGAGGCAGGGCTAAGTCCCGCTGTGTGAGTGTTTGTCTGTGTCTATGGAGCGTGGCTTCATAGACACAGCTTGGAAGCGATTAGACACTGTCCCTCCGCAGCAAGCGGCTAGCTATGGGGACACAAAAAAGAGGAGGAGCCAGGATCGCCGCTAGGGTACCAGAGAAGAGGAGGATCAGGACCGCTATGTGCAATACCACTGCGCAAAGCAGGTAAGTATACCATTTTTTTTTACTTTATTTTTTACCTTTTAGAATCACTTTATTTGCCATCAGAAGGGATGAAGAAAAACATTGTGACAGGTTCCCTTCAGTGGTCTATCCCATTCCCTCCTCTGCCCTCCAGGCAGCTGATCAAACTGAGATCTGTTCGATCATTGCTTTTCTGGCTGTAATGGCCAGGGAAAGACGGCTTTAAACTTGTGAGGAAAGGGATGAAATCCTTTCATGTTATTTTAATGTTAAAAAATAAAAATTGACTTTGCTAACACTTTAAAGTTGAATTTTAATCAGGTTAGATTTTGCCAACTCTGGTTCCAACTTTACCCCCTTCATCATCATGCTAATGAAATTTAAAAAAAAAAAAAAAAACTTTTTTCATTGTGCATCTTAGATTCAGCAATGTGTGATTACTGGGTACCTGTGATACTCCATGCAATGCAGGCATATCATGGCTGGTGGGAGGAACAACAGGGTGCTCTACACAGCTCCCTGAACACATCATGGCACCCTGCCTCCGTACTCCTCTTAAAGGATAAGTTCACCTTTTGGACAAAAATAATAAATGTACATTTTTTTCGCAGGTAAAATATGTGCACTTATTTTAGTCCAAAGGAGACTGGAAATCACTGCACCAGTGGTCAGTAGATCACTGATGCCATGCAGACCTGTCAGAATACCTGCTTGATGTACGGTAAAGCAGATATACTGACAGGAAGATCCACAGAGCCGTGGCAGTTCATTGAAAACAACAAGCTGACAGCCGCTAAGGCTGATGGGACTTGTAGGCACTCACAGAACTCTGGGAATTGGTGATCAGGCCATGTGGGCGGAGCACCACACGGCCACACTGTTTTACAATCCGACAGACAGTATGGGGAAACTTTTCGGCGTTGCGGCAGACGTTGCTGCGGCTATGGAAACAGATTACATTTTCCACCCTAAAAATTGACACAGGCGATGGGGCACTAGCCCAACCACCGACGCCAACGATGGGGCACTAGCCCTCCCACCGACGCCAACGATGGGGCACTAGCCCTCCCACCGACGCCAACGATGGGGCACTAGCCCTCCCACCGACGCCAACGATGGGGCACTAGCCCTCCCACCGACGCCAACGATGGGGCACTAGCCCTCCCACCGACGCCAACGATGGGGCACTAGCCCTCCCACCGACGCCAACGATGGGGCACTAGCCCTCCCACCGACGCCAACGATGGGGCACTAGCCCTCCCACCGACGCCAACGATGGGGCACTAGCCCTCCCACCGACGCCAACGATGGGGCACTAGCCCTCCCACCGACGCCAACGATGGGGCACTAGCCCTCCCACCGACGCCAACGATGGGGCACTAGCCCTCCCACCGACGCCAACGATGGGGCACTAGCCCTCCCACCGACGCCAACGATGGGGCACTAGTCCTCCCACCGACGCCAACGATGGGGCACTAGCCCTCCCACCGACGCCAACGATGGGGCACTAGTCCTCCCACCGACGCCAACGATGGGGCACTAGTCCTCCCACCGACGCCAACGATGGGGCACTAGTCCTCCCACCGACACCAACGATGGGGCACTAGCCCTTTGTTTAGAACGTTTGGAGACCCCTGCTTTAAGAGAATGGAAGCACTGGGCTGGCTCTTGGGAGGAGTTATGTAAATATCTTTAGTGGGCGGATGCCTAATTTGGAGAAGCTTGTAGATAATGTACATGTGATACTGATCCACCAGGATTGAAAAATCCCTGCAGTACTCTCCACTACCATAGCAATCTCCACTTTCACATCCTGTGCCAAGAGTGTCTGCCCTCCTGTATTGTGAACACAGAAGGTTGATCGCTCAACAAGGGCACACCATTCAGGGAACACTTTATATTTTCTCAATTCATACAAAGCGCCCTCTTTGTATGAATTTGTGCGACAAGGTGGGGTGCGGACAAAACAATCCCCACTGTCCAGAGACAGCTTTATAGCAAGAAAATGGAAAATGTTCCCTGAATAGTGCCTGTGTTGAGCAGGTGACCTCCTGTGTTCAGCAAACCGCAAGGCAGCCACTTAGCAAATGACCTGGGAACTAGAATCAATCACTACAGCAGCAATGCCTACAGTCATAATCTCATTTCAGCTGCAGTTTTCTTTAAGAATGATTTAGATCTACATTTAATTTAGAGGACGTTAGCAACAGACTGGTGTTAATAAAAATGAAGAGTACCTTTTTAACCCCGAGGATGTCTTCAATGAGGGTTGCCGTTTGCAGGAACGTCTTTTTGTTTGTCATTAAGGTAAACAAGAAAAGCACAAAGTCATTGCGTTCTGCCAAGCGTTTGGTGACACCTTCCGTCTATATATGAAAAAAAAAAAAAAAAAAAAAAAAAAAAAAGAGAAGTAATTTGGTTATTTATTCACAAAAAACATTTTGGATATAAAAGAGGGCACAGACACGCTGTCTTGACCACAAGTGCCCCCTGCTGCAGTACTGTACATTCCCTTCTGCAGTGCTGTACATTCCCTTCTCAAAACGACAACCAGCAAATTTGTACATGCCCATTCTTGGATCAACCAGACAATAGTGGTTCTTGAGGACAGCTGGATTTTGCACACGTGTTATAAAAAGGTCCCGCACAGACACAAGCTGACAGTTGCCCAATATTGGGACATCGACACAATTCTAACATTTTTGGCTCTATACACCACCACAATGGATTTGAAATGAAACAAACAAGATGTGCTTTAACTGCAGACTGTCAGCTTTAATTTGAGGGTATTTACATCCAAATCAGGTGAAAGGTGTAGGAATTACAACAGTTTGCATATGTGCTTCCCACTTGTTAAGGGACCAAAAGTAATGCGACACAATAATCATAAATCAAACTTTCACTTTTTAATACTTGGTTGCAAATCCTTTGCAGTCAATTACAGCCTGAAGTCTGGAACGCATAGACATCACCAGACGCTGGGTTTCATCCCTGGTGATGCTCTGCCAGGCCTCTACTGCAACTGTCTTCAGTTCTTGCTTGTTCTTGGGGCTTTTTCCCTTCAGTTTTGTCTTCAGCAAGTGAAATGCATGCTCAGTCGGATTCAGGTCAGGTGATTGACTTGGCCATTGCATAACATTCCACTTCTTTCCCTTAAAAAACTCTTTGGTTGCTTTTGCAGTATGCTTTGGGTCATTGTCCATCTGCACTGTGAAGCGGCGTCCAATGAGTTCTGAAGCATTTGGCTGAATATGAGCAGATAATATTCCTGAAACACTTCAGAATTCCTCCTGCTGCTTCTGTCAGCAGTCACATCATCAATAAATACAAGAGAACCAGTTCCATTGGCAGCCATACATGCCCACGCCATGACACTACCACCACCATGCTTCACTGATGAGGTGGTATGCTTAGGATCATGAGCAGTTCCTTTCCTTCTCCATACTCTTCTCTTCTCCATCACTCTGGTACAAGTTGATCTTGGTCTCATCTGTCCATAGGATGTTGTTCCAGAACTGTGAAGGCTTTTTTAGATATCGTTTGGCAAACTCTAATCTGGCCTTCCTGTTTTTGAGGCTCACCAATGGTTTCCATCTTGTGGTGAACCCTCTGCATTCACTCTGGGGAAGTCTTCTCTTGATTGTTGACTTTGACACACATACACCTACCTCCTGGACAGTGTTCTTGATCTGGCCAACTGTTGTGAAGGGTGTTTTCTTCACCAGGGAAAGAATTATTTGGTCATCCACCACAGTTGTTTTCCGTGGTCTTCCGGGTCTTTTGCTGTTGCTGAGCTCACCGGTGCGTTCCTTCTTTTTAAGAATGTTCCAAACAGTTGTTTTGGCCACGCCTAATGTTTTTGCTATCTCTCTGATGGGTTTGTTTTGTTTTTTCAGCCTAATGATGGCTTGCTTCACTGAACTCTGGACCTTTTATCTGCTCATTGTAATAGGGATAATGAGGGAATAACACACACCTGGCCATGGAACAGCCGAGAAGCCAATTGTCCCATTATTTTTGGTCCCTTAACAAGTGGGAGGCACATATGCAAACTGTTGTAATTCCTACACCGCTCACCTGATTTGGATGTAAATACCCTCAAATTAAAGCTGACAGTCTGCAGTTAAAGCACATCTTGTTTGTTTCATTTCAAATCCATTGTGGTGGTGTATAGAGCCAAAAATGTTAGAATTGTGTCCATGTCCCAATATTTATGGATCCGACTGTATAAAAGCAAGCCAAATGCTTCATGTAAAACCCTAACCTTCCCTACTGACCAATAATCCATTCCCTCTGTGACTCAATTTCCATGACGGATGTTTGTAGCATAGCAGATAAAATTCCTGCAAGCAGACATAATACAACAATATGTGACGACACACCCGACGTCTCCTCACTGGTGCGGCTACCTTTTGAGTAGATTATGTTATTAGGAACAAAGCAAAAATGTGAATTAGGACCACGGTGACCTGCCAATGACGACAGTCACTCCTGCCAGCGCAGAGCAGCACCTTGACCCCGAAAGTAACACATACAAGTACATTACAAAAGTAGATACAAAATACTGTCCGTTTAGAAACATTAAGACAACACAGCCCTTTATTAACCCCTTGCTGTCCAGGGAAATGTAGAATTTTTTTTAAATAAATGCTAAAAATCAGCATTTCATGGCTATAAAATTACTTAGAATCCCCAGACGTTATATATTTTCTGAAAGCAGATGCCTGTGAGAAATAAATGGTGGTCGTTTCCTTTTTTGTTGCGGGATATTTGCGTAGATGTTTAAACAAACATTTTCATGTGTCCTGATCAGGAGCGGACTGACCATCTGGAAACTCGGGCACTGCCCGAGGGCCCGGGGTCAGTAGGGGGCCCCATGAGATGCCCCTGGTACCTTTTTCATAGGCTTTTTGAGTTTGAGCACAGGGGCCCCATGATCCCTTATTGCCCAGGGGCCCCATGATTTGTCAGTCCGCCTCTGCTCCTGATGAAGTCACATGATAGGACGTAATGTGTAGGGTGTGCCGATGACGTCAGGCCGCAAACCGTAAGTGCACGTGCCACCATTTTGGATAAGGGATTTCTGCACACTTCTTACAGCAAACACTGTATAGTGAGTTTTAACCCTGCAGTGTCCCAGGAGGACATATTTTAATGTGAGTTTTTCTAGATTGATTTAATAAAGGCTGTTTTGAGTGGCAATATTACACTATATTGAGCATTTTTTTTTCACATGGATGTGGAGCGTTCTGGAGATGTTTAAAAGTGCTGGCTAATGGTGGTGAAGATCTATGTACCAGTATACCCTCCCGAGTTAAAGGGGAAAGCGCAGTTTGACCTGTCATTACGGGTCAAACCTGGAGGTGAGCGCAAGAGTGTTGGAAGCAGATGAGCACTAAGGGGTGACACAGGAGCACCGTACACGTGTATACAGTAGCGTGGTACACTGGTCTATTTGAAGTACAGCGGATTTAAAAAGGGACGGTTCAACACTTTTTGAGACCATATTCTGATAACACTTACAGTTGGGTATTTGGATCAGGATTTATGGGATATATACCACAAGTCCACATGCTGATATTCAAGATTTAAAAAAGGACAGTTCACTATTAAGGACATTTGTTATTTGTGTGCACAATTCATTTAGAGCACCAGTTATGTGCAGTTTATGGAGTTCTTTATGTATGTATTGATTAGACGTCTGGTATGGCACACATTGATTTTCACAAACACAGTTTTTTGTTTTTACATGCATTTATTGTGTAGCGCTATATTTTGTATATATATCATTGCACTGTATTTTTCGTGAATGAACTGTGAGTCCCAGGGGTGTATTTACCACAAGGCAAACAAGGCACATGCCTAGGGCGGCATTTTTCAGGGGGCAGCACCTTCCCACAGAAGAAGGGATGGAAGAAGGGACACGAGCGCCATGGGAACCAGGTGGGGTACCGAGAGAGGCTGCAGGGTTGCTTGATGGTGTACGTAGAGTCTGACTCTTTGTCCTGGGGATGTCTGGAGCTGTAGAGATGGGTGTCTTTCTATCACCGGGGGGCATAATGGAAGGCTCTCACAGGCGGGGGGCAGGGGTGTTGTTCGTCAATGTCAGGCTCTCTCTGCGGAGGGGAAGGTGTTGATTGCTATCCGTGGGTGCAGACGATTTTTGTGTTGCCTAGGGCAGCCGAAAACCTAAATACACCACTGGTGAGTCCCCACAGCATTAGCGGCTGTGGGCTTGTAGTTGTCAATGAACCACCACGGCACTGTGGAGCGCCGTGGTAGTTCATTGACACTTCCTGTCAGAATATCTGCTTGCTTGTACATCCCGTACGACAAGCAGATATTCTGACAGGTCTGCAGGAGACCTACATGGCATCAGCGATCTACTTATCGCTGGTGCAATGTTTTCCAGGCTCCTGTAGACAAAAATAAATGCATAATTATTTTACCTGCAAAAAAAAAAAAAAATGTGCATTATTTTTGTCTAAAAGGTGAACTTATCCTTGAAAAATTATATACACAACAATGGAAAAGTCTATCACACAAAATATGCATCAACAAAACCACGCAAATTGTACTGCAATAAAAACAAAAGGAGTACTTACGCATATACAGGTGTTGTACAGGATGCTCAGGCAGTCCTTGATTAATTCATCACTGACTAAAAGAAAAAAAAAAGGAAGATGAAATTAAAAAAAAGATATATGCCTAACAATGAAGCAGCTCAAATGTTAACAATAAAAATTGACAAAGTGCAACAATGTGGTTGCTGACAGGTTCACTTTAAAAACAATTGGATTGATATCTTCCCAGCTACAGGAAAGAGCTGGTACAGATCTCACCACTGGAGACTCAGCAGGTAGAAAAAAAAACAGCTTGTGATTTAGGACTTCCTTGGATATGCTTCCTCGGATGTATGCAGCTTGAACTTAAGAATCATTTTAAAGTAGAATTATAGCCAATGTTTTTTTTTCATTTTGGATAGAGCAAGGGAAGGTTATAACTCCTGTATGATTTTTTTTTTGCCATCTCTGTCCCATTACAGAGATTTTTCTTCACTTCCTGTCCCACAGTCAAACAGAAAGTGAGAAAAAAAATTTCTGGAAATTAAGGGGATTCCTTGGGGACCCCCAGGTCATCAGAACTAGTGTCCCCATTGGAAGATTTTCCCTCTATTACTTTTCTATGGACAACCCAAATTTATTTTATTTTCACTTTCAATTATAATGGTAAACAGGACAAAGAGGGTGAAAAGGGCACAGACAACAAAAACTTGACAGAGGTTTTAAACTCTCTCCCCTTTTCCAAAAAAAAAAAACAAAAAAAAGCTTTTGCGTTTAGTTATACGTTTATAAGCAGCTTCTGCATTCCCATTGACCTGTATGGGGGGGGGGGGGGGGGGGGGGAGTGAAGGGTGGTTGTTGGGGTTTACTGCTGTGTCCTTTTTAGGGGAGCGTGCAAACCACACACACGTCAAAACATACCTCTAGGGTAGCTTGTAACATTCTCGATCCCTTTCAGTCTGGATTTCGCCCACAATAATCTGCTCTCCTAAAGCTCAACAACTTACTAACCGCTAATACCAATGGTCACTATTCCGTACTCTTACTCTTTGACCTCTCCACTGCCTTTGACACAGTTGACCACCCCCTCCTCCTCCTCCTCAAAAAACTCTATTTACTTGGCCTCCATGACTGTACTCTCCGTTGGCTCGAATCTTACCTATCTCACCACACCTTCAGTATCACTTACAACTCTACTTCCTCCTCCTTTTACTGTCGGGGTCCCCCAAGGTCCTTGGACCTCTCCTATTCTTGATCTACACGTCTTCCTTGGGTCAGCTGATAGCTTCTCACGGATTCCAATACTACTCCTCAACTCACCCCATCAGTCTCCTCACGTATCACGATTTACTAACAGACATATCAGACTGGATGACACACCACTTCCTAAAACTCAAAACCAAAACCAAAACTGAGCTCATAAAATTTCCTCCCCCATGTGCCTCTTCCCGATTTCTCGGTCATTATCAATAGCACCACTATCAACCCATCCCTGCATGCCAGGGTGCTAGGGGTAACCCAGGATTCTGAACTATCCGTTCAGGCCTACATCCAATCCCTGTCCAAATCATGCCGCCTCAACCTCCACAACATCTCTAGAATACGCCCGTTTAACCAATGACACCACAAAGCTCCTAATTCACTCCCTTGTCATCTCTCATCTCGCCTACTGCAACTCCCTCCTAATTGGCTTACCTTTACATAGGCTATCCCCCCTCCAGTCCACCATGAATACTGCTGCCAGGTTCATCCACCTTACCAACCGTTCAGTGTCCTCCACCCCTCTCTGCCAATCTCTCCACTGGCTTCCATTCAGTGTCCTCCACCCCTCTCTGCCAACCCCTCCAATGGCTTCCACTCGCCCAATGAGTAAAATTCAACATACTAACAACTTACAAAGCCATCTACAACTCTGCCCCCCAGCTACATCACCAACCTGGTCTCAAAATATCAACCAAACAGCTCACTTCGATCCTCCCAAGACCTTCTGCTCTCTAGCTCCCCAAGTCACCTCGTTCCATGCTCACCTCCAGGACTTCTCCCATCCTATGGAACTCCCTACCCTAATCTGTCCGACTATCTCCTAATCCATCCACCTTTAGATCCCTGAAAAACATTCTCTTTAAAGAAGTCTATCCTGCTTTTACCTAGTTAACAGCCTTTTATTTCCTCCATCAGCTCATCCCCCCACAGCCATTACCTTTCGTATCACTCAGCCATTCCTCCTAGATTGTAAGCTCTAACGAGCCGGGCCCTCTGTTTCCTCTTGTACCAAATTGTATTGTAACTGTAATGTCTACCTTCATTTTGTAAAGCGCTGCGCAAACTGTTGGCGCAATATAAATCCCGTAGAACATATATTATCATGCAGGATTTATTTAACGCCGTTAGCTTAGCGCTTTACAATATAAAAGGGAGACAATACAGCAACAATACAGTTCAATACAAGAGGGATATGAGGGCCCTGATCCTGGGAGCTTACAATCTAAGAGGGGCTAGTGGTACAAAAGGTAGTAACTGTGGGGGATGCACTGCTAGGAGGAATAGAAGATTCCATTATTAGCTGAAGGCAGGATAGGCTTCCCTGAAGAGAGATGTTTTCAGAGATCGCCTAAAAGTGAGCAGAGTAGGCGATAGTCTGATAAATTGGGGTTGAGGAGTTCCAGAGGATGGGGGAGGCTTTGAAGAAGTCCTGGAGATGAGCATGGGAGGAGGAGACAAGGGAGCTAGAGAGCAGGAGGTCATGCAAGAAGAGTAGAGTATGGTTTGGGTGATATTTGGAGGCAAGATCGGTGATGTAATTTGGGGCAGAGTTATAAATGGATTTATTTGTTGTTTTTGTTAATGTTTTAAAACTTTATTCGTTGGGCAATGGGAAGCCAGTGGAGGGATTGGCAGAGAGGGATAGAGGACACTGAGTGGAGGCCAGTGGAGGGATTGGCAGAGAGGGGTGGGAGGACACTGAGTGGAGGCCATTGGAGGGATTGGTAGAGAGGGATGGCAGATATGGAACGGTTAGTAAGGTGGAGGAATATGGCAGCAGCATCCAAAATAGACCGAAGAGGGGATAGCCTGCAATTAGGTAGGCCAATGAGGAGGGAGTTACAATGGTCACATATAGTCTATATATATATATATATATTTATATATATATATATATATATATATATATATATATATATATATATATATATATATATATATATATATATATATATATATATATATATATATATATATATATATAATGACCACAATTAGAAGGTTGGCCAACCCCCAGGGATTCCTCCTACCTCCCCAATTGCATTCTCAGAGGTTTCACAGAATTGTTGGTCTTAGAGGCATTTGCCAGAAATGTATTCATGTAGATGAAGAATGGGAAGTGGGGGTGTCACTTACTTTTATGTTTCTTCCTTTGGGGGAAGAGGCTCGGTCTCATGAGGATCTCTACCAGAAGCTGCAGAGAGAGACAGATTTCAGGTGAGTCACACAGATTACAAATGATGAGTTCCAGACTCCCAAGAGGGCAACAGCAGCTGTATAATGAATGTAACTTCACAACTGATCACGTCAGATATTTATATACAGGTTACAAGTGACTTCTGTAAACACATCCAACTAATGAATGCTTTTAAAATGTCCATAAATAAAAGGCGCTTCCATATAAACTGAACGTAACGCGAAGACTTGGTCAGGAAACTTTCCCTTCAATACTTCACGTAACATTTACACAGAACTAAACAGAACAATCCTGCAACTGTACTTACCATAAAAGCAGTGTGTCACTACACCATCATATAAAGAATAGTAAATCAGACAGAGCATTTATAGGTAGCAAGTCTACAGCATGTAGTGCTTTCATTGCATACAAAAGGTCATACAGATTTTGAAAATAATTAAAATTTTAAGTAGATATAATAAACCTAAAAAGGAGCCAGGAGTGCCAGAGGGAGACCCCAGAAGAGGAGGATTGGGGCTGCTCTGTGCAAAACCATTACACAGAGCAGGTAAGTATGACATGTTTGTCATTTTTAAAAATTAAAATTTGATCCTTTTTGGTCTCTTTCGTGGACCGTTTTTTCAATCGGATGCTCCACTGCTTTCTATGGAGCAGCGGGTGTAAACGGACATGTGTGTTTACACCAACCTGCATCCAATCTGATGCTGTCCGCTAAAAACAGATGGATGTGGATCAGTTTCCCATTCGTCTGGCGAACTGGATCAGATCGGATGACAGTCGGATAGAAACAGACAGGCGGTCCATTTCCATTAGACAGCCCATAAAGGACAGGAGGACAGCGGGCTGTGTGTGTCCACTCTGCATAAGCGGAGCGGACACAGACCAGTTACCAGCTAGTTCCGCAGGGATCAGTGGGCAGATCCTCCAATGGACAAGCGGAACCGCCGATGGGTCCACTCCCCCATGAAAGGGGCCTTACAATAAATAGACAGAACAGTGCTACTCTGCAGCTGCATATCAAAGCAGAACTAAAAAGGCAAAAATTTGTTTCCCCCATTGTGGATGGAGTAAGGAAGGGTTATAACCCCTGTCAATGTTTTTTTGCCATCTGTGTCCACATTGGGTAAGTGCTATTACTTTCAGTCTTAGATTTTGATGTTTTTAATTTTTATTTTATTTAATTTTTTTTACACTGGCACCATCTCAGTACAACCAATTGAAGTCCAATGATGTACCAGGTACGGGACTGGTCGGCAAGTATTATTACTTCCAGTCTTCATTCGATTTTTTTTTTTATTTTAAAAATTGAAAAACAAAAAAAATTCACTTCCTACAGTCAACCCACATCCTTTTCTTCACCATAACATTAGTGGAGCCAATTATGATTATACAATAACATTTCCAGCAAAAGCACAGCAATTTGTACCATGCCAACACTGAATACAATAAAACACAAATCAACACGAAACAGTCTGTATGTTCTTCATTTTATACCTGCTTCCTTATTGTTATTCTAGCAAAGGAATTTGGGGAACAGAAGCTTTTGCAACAATGTTAACCCCTTCACACCTAACTGTAAAACAAATCTTAAAGCCTAAGCACAATTTTGCAACTTTTACGTGTTACCAAAACCGTACATATCACAACTGCTTTGCATCCAAGTGGATTATACCTTGTGTTTTCCAGGATAAATTGGGCTTTTGTTTGGTGGTAAATGGTAATTGATATCACCTGAACCAAGTTTTTTTTTTTTTTTTATCAAAGAAAAACTGACCCAAAATAGTAAAAAAAAAAAAAAAAAAAAAAAAAAACCCCACACTTTTGTTGTAATTATAGTTGTATATTGCTTCTGCTACCATAACCAACCACCAAAGAACAACCCAAAATTTCTCCTGCTCCAGACAATCTCAGCAATACCACATATGTGTATTTTAGAAGTGTTTGTACCCGTAGTACAGCCCAGAAACAATAGTGCGCAATTTGCTTTTTTTTTTTTTTATCCTGCCACTGATACGAATTAAAAAAAAAAAAAAATTTAATAAATACTGACCCTGACCCAAACAGTAACCCTGGCACTGACCTACATCAAACCTTGATCTACGTATTTATTTTTTTATTATATTTATTTATTTTTGTACAAACACTTTTTTATCTCTGAAAAGGACAGAGAGAGAGGTAATGCATTTCTCTTCTCCATTCAACAGAAAACAAGGGGGGCGGGCTTCACAGTGACTGATCACTGTGATATCCAATCAGAGGCTTTCACAGAGACCATGTGACCTGGAATCGTGAGTTCCGGGTCCAATAGTTAGAACGGATCCAGGGGCTCTCATTGACAACCAGGTCTTTGTGCTGTGGAGTGCGCTCCCAGCACAAAGACAGGTATGCAAGCTAGCGGCCCCACAGAAAAAAGCCCAGCCCAGTGGGGAGCTAACTTGCAGACACTTGGGGCCAAGGGGTTAAAAAAAAAATTAATAATAAAAATAATAATAGAGGATCTAATAAAATTTGTAAACATCACAACGGTAAATCCTGCCATTAAACAATCTGTCCCCGATTACTTCCAGCAGAACCTGACCTGCATTGCTCAAACATTTGTAAACTTTCCTCTATGTTCACAATTAACTGTATTAATCCACCCCGTTGTGCAATCTAGCTCCCAGTACTTGATTTTCTGATCTGAAGAGGCCCAAGAACAAACAAACAAAAAAAAAAAAAAAAAAAAAGGAAGGATCCGAAAAAAATCCTCCAGATTCAGCTAAAATTAGAAAACGTACTTTCATAGCCCTACTGTAAAATTGTAATAATTTTCACCTTTAAAAAATGCCCAAGTCTTAAAAAAAAAAAAATAAAAAATATGATATACCCAGCAAACCCCAATAAGCCAGTAAGTGCCCAGGAGATGAAGAAAGGAGTTATGCTACCCATGGCTTCTCCGGCATCACAATATTAAAAAAAAAAAAAAAAAATAAAGAAAAATTACCTAGATAAAGGTTTGATCTAGTTCAGTGCCAGGGTTAGTGTTTGGGTCAAAAAAAAAAAAAAAGTTATCAGTGTCAGTTAGTGTCAGTGTGGTTTAGGACAAAAACAAAAAAGTGCACCATTGTTTCTGGTCTGTACTACAAAATGCGTACTATTGTTTCTGGTCTGTACACAAAATGGGTATTATTGTTTCTGGTCTGTACTACAAAATGCGCACTATTGTTTCTGGGCTGTACTACAAAATGCGCACTATTGTTTCTGGGCTGTACTACAAAATGCGCACTATTGTTTCTGGGCTGTACTACAAAATGCGCACTATTGTTTCTGGGCTGTACTACAAAATGCGCACTATTGTTTCTGGTCTGTACTACAAAATGCGTACTATTGTTTCTGGTCTGTACTACAAAATGCAAAATTGTTTCTGGGCTGTACTACAAAATGCGCACTATTGTTTCTGGGCTGTACTACAAAATGCGCACTATTGTTTCTGGGCTGTACTACAAAATGCGCACTATTGTTTCTGGGCTGTACTACAAAATGCGCACTATTGTTTTCTGGGCTGTACTACAAAATGCGCACTATTGTTTCTGGGCTGTACTACAAAATGCGCACTATTGTTTCTGGGCTGTACTACGGGTACAAACAAAAAACATACACATGTATGGTATCGCTGCAATTGTCAAGAGCTGGAGAATTTATTTTGGGTTGTTTCTTGGTGGTAGGTTATGGTAGTAACAAGAAAAACAGCTTAAAAAAAAAAAAAAAAAAAACACAAACTATTTTGGGCCAGTTTTCCTTTGATAGTAAAAAAAAAAAAAAAAAAAAAATCATCATCATCAGGAGATATCCATTACCATTTACCACCAAATGAAAGCCCAATTTGTCCTGAAAAAAACACGTTATAATTCACCTGGATGTACAAAAGTAGTTGCGATGATATGTTTGGTTTTACTAACAGGTCAATGTTGCAAAATTGTGCTTAGGCATTTACATTTGTTTAACCCTTAGGCGTGAAGGGGTTACACACAAACATTTAGGGATATAGGATAGTATAGCAAAAAGCATGCCATGTACAGAATCAGTAACTGTGAATCACAAACTTACATCAACACCTCCAAACAAGTCAAAAGTGTAGGTGTTGGGGTATGGAAATTCTTCAGGGTTAGATTTCTTGTCATCTGTCACAATCGCCATCGCTTCCATAGAAAGCAGAGGAGAAATTTCCTAATGGAGGGGGAGAGAGAGAAAATACAGATAAGCTTTATATCTTGCAGAACGCAGCTGGCAATCAAATCTGTGATCAGCCAAAATCTTAAACAAAAGGCTTTCTACACAACTGCAGAAGTGAAGCTGGCACAAAGCCGCACAACCACTGGGTCAATATTTTGTGGGTGGCAGTTACATACAGACTTCACTTAACAGGATCTATAGGGATGCAAATTGTTTTGGTATGAAAGATAAACAGATGACCCAAAAATGCCACGACTACACATGGGGCTTGAAGACAGAAATGGTGAAGAACATTTACCGCAGCAAATACTTTACTCCTACACTGGGGATGGACTCAGCAGAGGCTAGGATGACAATGTCAATGTTCTGGAATATGCACTGCTTGCTGCCCTCAAAAGGACCAGGGTAGTCCAAAAGTCACTAAACGCAACAGCAAAAAAAAAAAAAAAAAGGCGCACCGGCCTAGTGCATTATCGTTTAAAATATTTATTGAAAGAATAAAAAAGTAGGTATCCTACTCACAATGGACATATAAAACACAGGCACATCACAATGAACAAAGGTGTTCAATCCATATAGCATCTGAATTCACAACGATGACCAACTGCTGACGCGTTTCAAGGACAAAGCCTCAAAAACGCTCCGAAGAGGTTTTGTCCTTGAAACGCGTCAACAGTTGGTCATCGTTGTGAACTCAGATGCTATATGGATTGAACACCTTTGTTCATTGTGATGTGCCTGTGTTTTTATATGTCCATTGTGAGTAGGATACCTTTTTTATTCTTTCAATAAATATTTTAAACAATAATGCACTAGGCTGGTGCGCCCTCTGTTTTTTCTTTTGCATGAAGAACATTTACCCCCTTGGTCACCAAAGTGATTAATCTGCGGATCGTCTTGCTACAAAAGGTGATTGTACTTCAGAGCGCACAGCGTTGCCACACTGGTGAATGACGCTAAACAAAAATTAGGCGTTCCTGAAGGACTAAATCATATGGCCTCATTCACACGGGCATGTCTAGGAGTACAACCATGCATTTCGCCCGCAGTGGATGCACAGGTGCTCCGTGGATCTCTGTGGAGGCAGTCACATTCATGTCTATTGGTATGCAGCAGCTGCATGGACACGGGTCCATTATTATTCAGGATTTATATATTAATATTCAGGATTGATATATTATTATTATACAGGATTTATGGCACCAAAACTTTGCTCAACGTTTTACAATATAACGGAGACAATACAGCAACAATGCAGTTCAATACAAGAGGGATAGGAGGGCCCTGATCCTAGGAGCTTACAATCTAGGAGGTCAGTTTGACTATAGTTCTAACCATCAAATGCTTAAAACACAGTTTAGGATGGAATTTTTTTTCTAGCATATATGACAGGAAAGTTAAAAAAAAAAAAAAAAAGAACAGTGGCTAAATGGTTAGCACTTCTGCCTGGCAGTACTAGGGTTTTTGGCTCGAACCCCAGACATGGCACCTTCTGCCTGGGGTTTGCATGTTCTCCCTGTGCGGGTTTCCTCCGGGTACTCCGGTTTCCTCCCACACTCCAAAGACATGCTGGTAGGTTAATTGGCTCCTGTCTAAATTGTCCCTAGTATTTGTATGTATGAATGTGAGTTAGGGACCTTAGATTGTACGCCCCTTGACGGTTAGGGACTGATGTGAATGTACAATATATATGTAAAGCGCTCTGTAAATTGGTGGTGCTATATAAGTACCTGAAATATATAAATAAGGGGGGAAGGAAGCTTACCTTCAGGATGCCCTGGCACTGGGAAAAGTCACTGTTGGGGTGACTGCCCTCATATAATTTATGTAAAAGCAGAGGGATGCCATTCCATTTCGCCTGTTTGTCTCGCTCTTTCAGCAGCTCCTCGGAAATCTACAACAAAGTTAACACTTAGCTATGGAGTCTCAAGAAGAAAACAAAAAAAAAAAAAAACACAGATCTTTACATTTTGTTATGTCCATAGTTAAATATGGAAATTTACCATTTGAAATGAACATGCCATTAGAATGCTCCTAATCCAAGTTTGCTGTAGCCACACACAGGCAGTAGAGGTGCAAAGAGTGCAGCCAAACTTACATTAAAGTGATTGTAAAGGCTCAAGGTTTTTTACCTTCCTGCATTCTATGCAGGAAGGTAAAAAAAAAAAAAACAAAACTGTGTGCAGCAACTCCCCCAAATACTCACCCAAGCCCCCCTCTCAATCCAGTGATGTGCACTGGAGTCTCAGCAATCCCGGGACTCCCTCTCCTCATTGGCTGAGACAGCCATTGAGAAGAAATGTGGTGAGGCCAAGCCACGGCTCCTGTGTGAATTGACAAGGAGAAGCAGGTGCCCCCACAGCAAGCTGCTTGCTGTGGAGGCACCCAACAGGAGGGAGGGGCTAGGACAGGGGCGGACTGACAACTCATGGGGACCCCGGGCAATAGGGGATCATGGGGCCCGTGTCCTTGCCTACACTCAAAAATCCTATTAAAAAAAAAAAGGTACCAGGGGCATTTCATGGGGCCCCTACTGACCACGGACCCTCAGGCAGTGCCTGAGTGCTCGAATGGTCAGTCCGTCCCTGGACTAGGAGCACCGGCGGGGGACCCAAGAGAAGGAGGACCCGGACTGCTCTGGGCAAAACCACTGCACACAGCAGGTAAGTATGACGTGTTTTTTTTTTTCTTTTTTAAATAAAATTGAAGCCTTTAACCACTTGCCCTCCAGAGGTTTCCCCCCCCCCCCCCCCCTCCTGATCAGGCCATTTTTTTTGATACAGCTCTGCATTACTTTAACTGACAATTGCGCGGTCATTCAAAGTTGCACCCACATGAAATGTATGTCCTTTTTCAATGCAAATAGCTTTCTTTTGGTCTCCTGTGTGTTTTTTATTTTTTGCACTATAAAACAAAAAAAGACCAACATTTTTGAGAAAAAAACAAACAATATTTTTGACTTTTTGCTATTAAACACGTCCAATAAAATTTTTTTTTCAAAAATCAAAATTTTGTCATAAATTTAGGCCAAATTGTATTCTGCGACATGTCTTTCCTAAGAAAAATCCCAATACCTGTAAAGTTATAGCTTTTACAAATGGCGGTGTATATATACTGGAATTTTTACATTTTCTTTACTAGTAATGGCGGCAATCAGCGACTTATAGTGGGACTGCAGCGGGCATTTTTACAATGGGGGGGGGGGGGGTCTGACTTTGTGTCACTGACATCCCCAGTGACACCAATACAGTGATCAGTGCTAATAAAGAACACTGACACTGTACTAATGGCACTGGGCAGGAATGGGTTAACATGTGGGGCGATCAAAGGGTTAACTGTCTGCATTGTACTGTGTGCTGTGCTTTACACTGTAAGCACACTGCTTTGTATTGGTATGCTATGCAGAGCCATACAAAGTAGTGTGCAGGAGCTGACAGGGGAGAGATCTGTATTGTTTATACACAGGTCTCTCCCCTTTCGGGAATCACTGGCTGGGACCCGGTGACTGACAGCCGAGCCCGAATGGCGGCGCGCGCCTCCTACCCAGAACGGCAAAATCACGTAAATAGATGCGATTTTGCGCCCCTGTGCCACCCTGTAGCGGAAGTGGTTAATGTTACTTTAAAGGCACTATAAACATTCCTACTTGCACAACTTATTTGGGTGAAAAACACAAAGGTGCATTGATCATGTAGTTTCATGGTGTCATTTGTAGCTCTGTATGTCCAGCCTATAGTAGAGCAGATCCTCACATGCCAGTATCAATAGTTTCTTTTTATGTTCGAATACAAGGCATGAAGCGTGGCACTACATGGGTGATCAGCTGACCTCTGTCTGTAGGCTAAGAACTGACACTTCCTGTGAAGAAACTACATATCCCACAATCCCCATGTGTCTGTCCAGCACTGGTGCAGGGGCAGTAATTAGATATGACAGACACACGCAAACAGAGCAATGAAGGGAAGAGTTGCGTTTTTCACCACATCGAGATTCCACATTTGTGATTCAATACAGAGGAAATAATTAGACATGCACCGGACGCCACGAGACCCACAAAACGTTGCCTTTTCATTTAGCATAAAGCGTGATTATGTGTAACAACATTAACCGCCTCCCACCCGCCACATAAGGTAATGACGGGCGCAAGGCAGTTCTCTCGTTCTGGGAGGACGTCATAAGACATCCTCCCATTCTAACCGCGCATGCATGGCTCGGGGAGCGCGCACTGCGGCGATCGGTGGTGTGCGGTGTCCCCCGGACACAGCGGATCAATGATCAATGGAAAGAGCAGAAGATGTCGGCTCGATCATGTGATCAGCTGTGTCCAATCACAGCTGATCGCATGTACATAGGTAAATGCTGGTTATCGGCATTTCTCTCCTCACGAGCTGTCACGCTGACAGAGGAGAGGAGAAAAGAGCCGGTAATCGGCATTCCTCGGAGGGGACATGTACACTGATCATCAGGGCACTGATGATCAGTGTGCCCTGATGATCAGTGTAGCCCCAGCAGTGCCACCTGCCAGTGCCCATCAGTGCCACCTGCCAGTGCCCATCAGTGCCACCTGCCAGTGCCCATCTGAGCTGCCTTTCAGTGTTACTTGTCAGTGCCGCCTAACAGTGCCATATATGAGTGATGCCTGTCAATGCCCATCAGTGCCACCTATCAGTGTCCATCAGTGCAGCCTCATTAGCGCACATCAGTTAAGGAGAAAAATCATTTATTTACAAAACTTTATAACAAAAACGGATATATACACACACATGATCTTGCACCACTGGAAAGCGGGTGTGCACAAGGTGCACGCGCACCCTTCCCACGCCACCGATCACCAGGTCCTGGCCAGCGATTACTCGCCGGCGCCCCGTGATTTCTGAGGATCTCCAACGGGGAGAACTGTTTGTAAACAAAACCGTTCTCCTCCCTGTCGGCTTGCGCACACTGCTTTGGATGGCGGTGCATAGCACCGCCATCCAAAGCAGTGCTTATGGTGAAGCACACAGACACCGCCCCCCCTAGTAAAACGCACACAGTTAACCTTTTGATCGCCCCCCCATGTTAACTACTTCCTGCCCAATGCCATTAAAACAACACAGATCTCTCCCGTCAGCTCCTGCACACTGCTTTGTATGGCTCTGCATAGCATACCCATACAAAGCAGTGTGCTTACAGTGTAAAGCACTGCACACAATAAAATGCACACAGTTAACCCTTTGATCACCCCACATGTTAACCCCTTCCTGTCCAGTGCCATTAGTACAGTGTCAGTGCTGTTGTTTTTTTTTTTTTTTTTTTTTTAGCACTGATCACTGTATTGGTGTCACTGTCACACCAAGTCAGTTCCCCCCAGTGTCAGAATGCCCGCCACAGTCCCGCTACATGTCACCATTGCTAGTGAAAAAAAAGGCCCAATATATATACCCGCCATTTGAAAACACTAGAAATTTCAAGTAAACCAATTCATTTCCACGGATTGGGATTTTTTTTTTTTTTTTTTTTTTTTCCCTAGCAAAGACATGGAGAATACATTTTGGCTAACATTTATGAAGAAATTTGATCTTTTACATTTTTTCTTTTATTTACTGGACATGTTTAATAGCATAATGTAAAAAATATTGTTTCTCTCTCAAAAATTGTCCGCCTTTTCACACACAGGCGATCAAATACCGAGCAAAAGAAAGCTCAATTAGTGGGGGAAAAAAAAAAAACACGTAAATTTCATTTGGGTGCAGCGTTACATGACGGCGCAATTGTCAGTTAAAGTAACGCAGCACTCTAATGCAAAAAATGGCCTGATCAGGAAGGGGGGGGGGGGGTAAATCCTTAGGAGGGCAAGTGGTTAACATACCACCAGTCTGATAAACACCAGATTTGTGACAGAGTTGAGGATCATTCCTACACGTGGAAAGCCCTCCTGTACAGTGTGAGGATCTGTATATTTTTTGGAGCAGTGCTGAGCTGGTGGAGGCGGCATATACAGAAGAAATGAATAGACATGGGGGCAGCACAGTGGCTAAATGGTTAGCACTTCCACCTGGCAGTACTCGGGTCGTTGGTTCAAATCACAACCACAGCACCACCTGCCTGGAGTTTGCATGTTCTCCCTGTGTGGGTTTCCTCTGGGTACTCCGGTTTCCTCCCACACTCCAAAGACATGCTGGTAGGTTAATTGGCTCCTGTCTAAATTGTCCCTAGTATGTGTATGTATGAATGTAAGTTAGGGACCTTAGATTGTACACCCCTTGAGGGTTAGGGACTGATGTGAATGTACAATATATATGTAAAGTGCTGCGTAAATTGACGGCGCTATATAAGTACCTGAAATAAATAGACATGTATGGGCTGTATGGACTCACCTGCACACCCAAGTTTGACAGGTAAACAGAAACACGTGTGGCCCTGGTGCACATCCTGTGCATCTGGAACCGTGTACCCGTCCTTGCATACCCGTCATACTTGGATGTGTGGGGAAGTCCGTACAGCAGATGATGATACAAAAAGATAAACAGCTCTTCACGCTATACAGGGCTGAGTGCCAATGTGAATGAGCTATTGAAGAAGAATTCCAGGTATGGATAATGAGCAGCACAGTGGCTAAATGATTAGCACTTCGCCTGGCAGCACTCAGGTCGTGTGTTCAAATCCCAGCCACGGCACCTGCTGCCTGGAGTTTGCATGTTCTCACTGTGCAGGTTTCCTCCGGGTACTCCGGTTTCCTCCCACACTCCAAAGACATGCTGGTAGGTTAATTGGCTCCTGTCTAAATTGTCCCTAGTATGTGTATGTATGAATGTGAGTTAGGGGACCTTAGATTGTACGCCCCTTGAGGGTTAGGGACTGATGTGAATGTACAATATATATGTAAAGTGCTGCGTAAACTGTCGGCGCTGTATA